CAAATAAATGATTCTGTATTCACACAGATATTATTATTATTATTATTACATAGTATTTATATAGCGCCAACAGTTTGCACAGCGCTTTACAGGGGGAAATGATACATGAGGTAGCTGTGGGAATGAATTATGTGAGAATGTGAAGGTTCAGTGGTTATGTTGAGGTGGGATAGGCTTCCCTGGAGAGATGAGTCTTTAGGGAACGCCTAAAGGCAGTCAAGGTGGGAGATAGACGGACAGGTTTGGGTAAGGAGTTCCAGAGGATGGGAGAGACTCTAGAGAAGTCCTGGAGGCGAGTATGGGAGGAGTGGACAAGGGAGCTGAAAAGCAGGAGGTCAATGGATGAGCGGAGGGGACGTTTAGGGTGATACTTTGAGACAAGGTCTGAGATATATCCGGGGGCAGAGTTGTGGATGGCTTAGGAGATGAGAGCAATAACGAGCTGGCATGATCTGATAAAGACATGTATACAGTATGTACAGCACAGTGGTGATGTCACTACTACGGTACAAGGTAATATTTGAGTTTGCAGAGGCATTTAGTGGATTATTAGGATTAGTGTGTTAGGGTGCCATTGAAAATGAATGGCACTGCAATTGACTAATGCATGAAACATGTTAACGTGCCTTGTGGTATCGCAATGCACCATGCTGGAGTTGTGTGAATGGGCCCTTAATGTAAGCTACTGGTAAACATGTTTGCATTGTGTGCAAGTCCAGCTACTAGTCAGTATATCTGTGTACAGGACACTAGTAACATTAGTGAGGCATGAGGCATCATGCACCTCTTTCCACTGTCTTTTTATTTGATTGGCTGCATTTTCTGAATTTGTTGTCTAGTTGATGGCATGCAGTTGATCCCATAGTGCAATAGCAGTAGTTACATTTTAAAACGAGCCTATCCCAAAGAAATAGCTGATCCACTGAGGCGGCTTGCTCTTAGACTCTTAGACTGGTCCTTCCAGCCTCCCTCCCCCTCATCAGCAGTAGTCTAATGTCCCTGAGTCATCATGTTCTATACACTCTATAGGACACGAGGATATTGAGGGACATACTATCGTTGCAGCGTAGGAGTGTCAGGCAGGAGAAAGCGCTGTCACAGCTAGCTGGCTCAGAGATTCACATGAGTGTAAAGGTGGCCATACACTTTACAACCATTGCAAGACCATAGTCTTGCAATGGTTGTAAAGTACTTAAAAAAACGTACGATCTGCCCATCTTGGACAGGCAGATCGTACTCTCGATCATTGCAAGCCCGCCCCCCTGAGGGGCGGGCTTACGATGACTGTAATGAGGGGCGGGCTTACGATGACTGCAAATGGGCAGTTCGGCCCGTTCGGCAGTTGTCGAACCAGCAGGCCACTAACTCGCCGAGAATCGTACGATTCCTGGCGGATTTTCTAGCATGCTGGTTCGACGGAAGACGTGCGACCGTACAGTAGAAACGGTCGCACGCCTTCCATACACTGCACGATTCTCGTACGATCGCGGGATTTCGTGCAGTGTATGGGCACCTTAACTTTGTTATTTTCCTCCCTAGACCAAAATGAGCACTTGAGGAAATTTAGCATGAACCGTTGCAGTGAGGCTACCCCTTAATTAAGAGTTCTGCTTTTAAGGCTATGAAGCCGCACTTATTAAGGGAAACCTGTATTATACAGAGGCTGCCATTGCTAAGTTTCTTCTGAAAATGCTAGTGTCCTGGCTATCTGGTCTCAGTACTTTCTGACCTTGAACAAGCATGCAGCTAGAGAAGTCACAAAGTCCAAAGTATTTGGATCAACATACCAGCCAAGCAATTAGCATTTTCAAAAAGAGAGTTCAGTAGTGAGAACTTCCATGCCAAGCTTCTCACAATGCTATCTAGCTCTGTGAAAGATCTTTCATTACACCTTTATGATGCGTGCATTTAAATTCCACACATTTGGGGGAATAACAAAGTAAAGTCTGCTCATTTCCATATACACTTATTTAAGGTTTTATGCGGCAGATTTATAGAAGCGTCTCCCGACAATTGCATTTTTTGCCTAATGGTGGTGTGCTGTCTGTCCAACAATTTGTGAGGGCTGGTTCACATGATGTGTGGTGACTGGCGTTTGTCTGCACTGGATTAACGCCAGTCGTCAAAAGGGCACATAGAAGACAATTGCCCCGTTCAGGCTGAAACATTTCCTTCAGGCGGGTTGCAGTTGTGAGAAAAGCCAACGTGCTGCAATTTACATTAATGCACCAGAGCTCAAAGCCAAAGTCGCCGTCCGTTTTCTACTGCAGCTGTTGCTTAGAAATTTCAATAAAGTAAAAAAAAAACGGTGCCAATGCAGGGCACTAAACCAACCACCTTCCCCCCACCATAGTGGACATTTGCCCGTACGGTAAAGCTGACCATTTTAGGCTCCATTCGCAAAGGAGCGCTTGTCTGCGTGTATTCACCTGGCCGAATTCTCATGGAACTGCTCTTAACATAAAAAGCAATGCACTTTATTGTGGACTGTTCAGACTTTTGCGGCGGCACGGTACGAAACCGCACAACTCGCAAAATAAATGTTAGCCGCATACAAGCGATATCAGTGCAGATGAAAGATTATAGCTTTTTCGTGCCGCGCGGTCTTCCATACGGAAAACCGAGTGGGAAATGCAAACGTTATATGTGAATGGAGCCTGGATAATGCATGGAATGGAGTGAATGGAGCCTGGCTAATGCATGGAATGGAGTGAATGGAGTCTTGCTAATGCATGTAATGGAGTGAATGGGGCCTTGCTAATGCATGGAATGGAGTGAATGGAGTCTTGCTAATGCATGTAATGGAGTGAATGGGGCCTTGCTAATGCATGGAATGGAGTGAATGGAGTCTTGCTAATGCATGTAATGGAGTGAATGGGGCCTTGCTAATGCATGGAATGGAGTGAATGGAGTCTTGCTAATGCATGTAATGGAGTGAATGGGGCCTTGCTAATGCATGGAATGGAGTGAATGGAGTCTTGCTAATGCATGTAATGGAGTGAATGGGGCCTTGCTAATGCATGGAATGGAGTGAATGGAGTCTTGCTAATGCATGTAATGGAGTGAATGGGGCCTTGCTAATGCATGGAATGGAGTGAATGGAGTCTTGCTAATGCATGTAATGGAGTGAATGGGGCCTTGCTAATGCATGGAATGGAGTGAATGGAGTCTTGCTAATGCATGTAATGGAGTGAATGGGGCCTTGCTAATGCATGGAATGGAGTGAATGGAGTCTTGCTAATGCATGTAATGGAGTGAATGGAGCCTTGCTAATGCAAACTGTCCCTAACTTACAATATTGGTGCAAGTGCTTATTTTGGCGCACACTATCAGATATAAAAATAAATGGTTGCATATCCCTTCTAGGGCTCATTTACAGCACGCTAAAACATTGTGGGCTGGTGTCCATTGTGAAGAGGCGCTAAGAGGCGATGCTTTCTTACAACACATTGCACTGTTACCGTTTCCACAAATCCCACTTCATTCAAGTCTGCATTGCAATGTGCTGTGGTGGTGCATTGCGCTGAATAAAAATGCACCGCACGGCGCCTCAATGCAGCACTGTGGTGCAAACAGGGTACATAGAAAACGATTGTTTTCTAGGTGACCAAGCGTTGAGCCTGTGTTGCTCTACATAGCTCAGCACAAATGATGTGAAGGAGCTCTTAACCCTTTCGCTGCCAGAGCCATTTTTGCACATGTTAATATTCACATTTTAGACCTGTATATTTCCTGAAGGCAGAGACCCTGTAGAATAAAATGGTGTCAGATGCAAATGTTTATGTTGTGTGATATTAACCCAACATTTCAGTACAAAACGCACTTAAGTTAATTTTAGTGCACAAAAACACATATAATACCCAATGTTTTAGTACAATATAAAAGATGGGGTTGTGCTGAGTAAATAGATACCCAACATGACAAGCTTAAAAAGTACAGGTGCCCGTGAAATGGCAAAAAAAGTGTTACCCCAAACTGTCCATAGGCGACGCTTTAAAAGCCAGTACAGGTCGTCAGTATAGAGTCAATCGTGAATATTGGCCCTATAATTATTGCTACTTTTACTATTTGTATTGCTATTATTATTACTTCTTAATGGCGCCCCAAACGCGGTCAGTAGAAATGCGTTTTTATGCCTGTGCATGGACGCGCGTCAAACACATGGTCAAAAAATGCGGGAAGCTCACAGCCGAAAATGCTGCATGAGCTTTTTTGCTACATGTGCAGCAGCCCAATAAAATGAATGGGCTGACACACTTCAAAAACGTATGCGAAAACGCACTCAACGCACGTCTACACATCGCAAAAGCTCTAGTGAAAAATATGACCAGGCTGGAAGGCACCCATGAGTGGTTGAGAAAGGCTGCCTTAAAGCGATTTGGCGCGGCCATCGCAGCAACGCCTAGAACTTGTGCAATGAGTGCGTAAAACGTGGCGATATTTTTTTACACTAAAAAAAAAATGACATTTCCCTCAAATATTTCTAAGTGTATTTGCAGTCTTCAATTAAAGCAATATTTTATTTCCTGACCGGCGGTGAATGATCTGTTCAGAGAGGTTTCTACGGGGGTCACAAGACGGACCCGCTGCTTTATACACAGATAGTTCTGTTTTCAGATTTAAAAAAACCTATAAGTGGCCTTAGGTCAGCTGCATTGATTTAATGCATTACTTAGGCTGCCAGAAGTGAGGTAGAATCTCCTTCGACTACATCAGGAGTGCCTCAAGCTTCTGTGATTCCTTTTGATCAAATCTCTGTGAAAGATGAGTGTCATGGCCTCTTCAAGCCAGCTGTGAGGGGACTGCCCTGTGACTCTGAGAGCATGCTGGAACAGAGCACGCAGGGCACAGAGGTGAGAGCATGCTGCAGAGGTGAGCCAGGCAGACACAAACTTGGAGGGCCCAGGGAACACTCAGTGGGAGGATCTCATTCCACTCCCCTGTGCACAGTCTTAGTATTCATCAGACCTAGAGGTGCTCATATTCAGACAAGGCTAAGAAGGCGTGTGATGTTCTGTTTTAGTACTTGTACAGACAGGAGTGCGCTTCAAGTGCATAGCTGGAGTACTCATTGAGGGAATGAGGAACTGCCTGGGTTATGATTTCTCTCTAGCAATGGACAAAGTAAGTAAACTTTCTTATACATTTCCATTTGCAGATGTCTAGGTATTGTCTTTAGCAAAATGTATTTAGTGTTTCTTTTTTTTTCCTTTCTTTTCTCTTTGCATACTTTCAATTGATTTGCGATAATACGGAGCCTGTGGAATAAGCCCGAGCATTAAAAATGTAATTGTGTCTGTAACAAGTGCATTTTGTACACCGACAGCCACTAATGCTGCTGAGTGACAATGTAACTTTAATGCGCTCGCTTAAAGCACTTTATCCAGGACTCTTCTAAAGTTCCTGTTATGATGCAGAAAAGCTCTTAAGAGCAGGCTGTAAAAACAATTTTCCTAAAGTCCTTCTTAGGATTATTAGTGGCCAGCGATCGGTGTGTGTAAATTATGCATACAGCCTTTCGTTTAATTGACGAGTGCCATTGTCCCCCCCCTCCTCCTTCTGGTGCGCACTATTAGTCCTCAGGTCCCTTTGCACTGAAAGCCCTGCAATGATGAGGATGATAGTAGACTCAGTACAAATGAATCCTGTGATTGTCTGCAATGTCCTCAACACATTCCATCGCCGTAACCTTCTAATGGGCTGCAAATATGCTGTTCACAAGTGCACGTTATGAATTTTTAAAAAGCTGCTATTTTATGGGAAAACGTGTCGAGAGGCTTTTTTTTTTCCTCTCTTTTTATGTTAAGCTTTTCCTGTAGTTGTGGATAGGAAACCAATCTTTCCACTGAACTTGGTACAGAGCAATCAATACACTGATAGATGTCTTTAACTATGCAATATCCATTAAGATAGGTGCGCCCGGGCCATTTTCTTAGTTTGACGTAATGCTGGCGATGGAAAGTGCAAGCTCTCCTGTTTCGCCTGCATCTAGGTGTCTTTCCGCTCCTATGTTAATCTGTGATTATCTCCTTTTACAATGCGCTTCTTCACAGCTTGGAATCATGTCGCTGTTTTGGCTCCTTGAACTGGAAAGCTTTTTGTTGTCTTTATCTGTTGGGTGAGCTAACATCTATGTTGCGAGGACCTGCAGGCATGTTGCGCCGCTTCGTGTTTCTGCTGTCTACAAGTGAAGTCAGCTTCATTAGTTTCATGATGGCACATCAGTGCAGGGCTGGTGTTGCTGCTTCCTTCTAGCAAGTCCTGGAGCATGATCTGGGCTGCCTGGGTTTGGATAAGCTTGTAAGGATTTGTCAGCCAGATGTGACACGATTGTCAAGAGGCAAGTAAAGGAGGAGATCTGATATTAATCAGTGCATAGCTGGAAGCCAAACTTTCTCAAAGGCAGTGTAGAAACATGTTCTCCTCTACTGCTCCTTTTTTCTTACCACTGAGCTGCCACTGTCTTATCTTTTAGGTTTATTACAGGCTACAGCAGACAATGTCACTCTTTTTAACTTCTAGGTGCAGGTCTGGCTCCAAAGCAACCAAGGTGTTACCTACATTCTTTATTAGATTTAAATGTTTTCAGATAAAAGGCATGATTGGTTTGAGATTCATTCTAAAAGGTACAGAATCCCCCTTGGCGAAATCCTGCATTTGCCGTTGAAAGGGTCACTTCTTAGCGTGGCTAACCTGCGCAGGCACCGGAGAGGTTAATATGACGATCTGACGTGTAGGTGTCGTCTGACAACGCTTGCAAGGACAAAATGGGTCCCAACATGTATGAAATTCAACGTACAGTGGCCCTGTCTGACCTCTGACATAGTTTGGGCAGATCTTTGCAGTTGCTCAGCACAGTGGCCCCTTTCATTAACTCTGCAAACAATGTAATTGCATACTTAACTTACTGAACCTAAGTTTAGCATCTCTTCGGAACTTGTTTAAACTTTCTCAATTGATAAGCAGCTTATACCAATTTTTAAGCACAACACGTTTGTTGTCAGTATTTCTGAATGTAATCGTCTTGAATGCAGTCCAGTTAACAGCTTGAGCATGTGCTCCGTTATATAAAACGCTTTTGTAAGTAATGGTGTGATGTTTATGTTGTGCTATCAGTGCTTGCGTTAATGCACTTTCTTGTGTTTGTTTTGCAAAAAAAAAAAGTTCATATCATGATCGGTGTATTGTAAAGATTGTATCTTGGTATTTGAGACATCCTTCCTCCACACTTTTCTTTCTTCTTGAAACGGCAGTGTGAACTTCAAAGCAATCAACAGATCCCTGACAGATCTTAGGAGGCATCTGCATAAACTCTTCTGTAATGAAATTGTGCACATGCATATGGTCCAGATATGTAAGGTACCAGGTAACACAGGCAAAAGGCACCAGTTATCTATTTAGCATATACAGAACAGCGATGGAATCTTTTTTGTGTTAAGAGAACACAATCTATGATGTAGACACCTGAACAGGTAACAGTCTATCCATCACATGATTGGGGAATGTTAGACCAGTGTTAGTCCAGCATTCCCCAATCATGTGATGGATAGACCGTTACCTGCTCAGGTGTCTACATCATAGATTGTGTCCTCTTCTAAAACAAAAGCTTCTATCATTGTTCTGTATATGCTATGTAGAGCTTGTGAGACCTGCTGTCTATCCTGGTACGTGAAGAAGCCTCAATCCACATGTCATCCTTTGGGTTCACTCAAATACGGACATCCAAAATTTCAAAAGACAACCAGCCAACTCTTCTGTCCGACGATTTAAGGCGTCTAAAAGGGAAGCAACATTGTCTGTTTACAGAGGAAGGACAAAGCAAGTATTTTCCATTTGTGTTTCTTCCTAAATACCTATCAGAATAAGGACCGTTGTGAAGACACTTCATTTTTGTTAATATCCACGGTACATAAACACATTATTTTCTCTGAAGGATGTTTGCTAAATAACTTCACAGTTTTTTGTTTTCTTTTCAGTTTGGGACCAGTGTTCTGTATCCATACAATCTGACTTTGTTTCCAAATAGTTTAATCCCATCAATGATAGTGTAGGGCCTACAGCTCATCCTAAAGATATCCCATCAGCTAGAACCAAATACTGCACAATTTTGGTTGATTTGGCAGATCAAGTATGAAACTAAAAGTTTCTGTGTGTGACTGTCATCAGATGCAATTTTGGCTTTGTCACCCTAGTTAGATGCAACATATTCTGCACCTGGCTTGACTACGCCTGAAAGGGCATTCTTCTCACTTTGCAGACTGCACTTCCCAGATGATAGATGTCAATCAGCCTTTTACATCACATTGTTGTGGATCTGGCTCTGTGCAATTCTAAGAGTGTACAGGGGTGATTTACTAAACCAAATTGTATGTGTTTTCTTTGACCATCCAATCCAATCATGTGTGTGACCATTTAAAAAAAATAGAAGTTTCTGAACATGATTTCTGTTAAAAGCAAATAAAAGGTTTTATATTTCAACTTCACATTAGCATATAACCTCCCCAAATATGATCAGTAGTGGTCATTTGATGAACAATGTCATTTGGCAACACTTGCAACAAAAAACAATTTGCGCAAGGATAGATGTATATAAACTGGTTGCCCAGAACAACTAGTCAGATGTTGGCTTCTCCACCCTGATGCAACAGATCTGCTTTTCCTGCTGTAATTCTATTTAATCTATGGAGTGTAAAGTAAACCAGCCAAACTGTCCCTGACTTCTAACTGCTTTCATAGTTTAGCTCTTTTATGATTGAGCCAGAAGTAATACAGTCACTAATTGGAAGTATATTGTCACCCCCCCCCCCCCCTTCTCTTCCTCACAGTCCATTCACTGACATTTGAGTCATTTGTCTGCAGTGGCTTTTTAATATACACGGAGTGACTATTGTAGTACAATGAAATGCATGCAGATAATTTCCTGTGACTAGAAACACTCAGTGGATATGAATTTATTGTATTCGTGTCTGGCCCTGCCTATGTGTTCCAGTTACGAAAGTTACTGTGAGTGTAGTATGATTAGTTTTGAGGTTCCTGACTTCCCACACAATGTCCAAGTGGCTTATTTATTACCGAGTATGATGAAATCAAGACGGTGCTTCCACAGACTGACACCAGTGAGATCATCATGTGGAGGGTCTTAGGAATATTACACAATGTACTCCTGGACTAGAACATCTGTACAGCTTGGGACAAGGTTTCTCACCAAGTACAAGAAATGCCTGAGATGTCTTGAATCTGTAATTTCTGCAGATGAAAGTGATAATGCATGAAATGGACATGCTACGTAGATTTGGTAACAGGTAAATCCATGGGCTAGGCAATGCTGAATACTCGTCGGTAGGATGTTTTTAGACCCACCAGTGATGTTTGTGTGGTTTAGGTACAAAATATGGCAATTGCAGTAAAACCTGCTGGTTTTGGGTACCACAGTTAGGATGAAAGGTTTGACAGAGCAAACGGCAATTTATTCTTAATTAAAATAATTGCAGGTGAACAAATGGAACCTATTTAGATAATTGTATGCAATTTATACAATTTTAAAATGATTTTGTGTTGTATTCAATCACTTGCTCTTTGAGCAATAGCACATATCGTTTATACTGTATTTGTCCTGTATGTAAAACAATTGTTTGTACCGGAAAAAAAAAATTTGCCGAGTGATAGTCTGCAGAGAACAATTTTTGAGCAAGATATAAAATTGCATTGGTTAATATCTGTCATCAGTGATCATTTTGGTACTTAAACTGCTGCGATGTTACCATGTTCATTGATTATTCTTTCAATACTGATACGAATCTTTGCTTCAATGGCCAGCCCTAATTTGACCTCCTGTCTGTATAACCAGATAGATGTAAAGTTATGTGGAAGTTGTGCTGTCATACAAGAATGGTGCTTTGGCTTCAGAACAAATGACTTTATTTAGTATATCATCTTCTTAGGCCACTAAATTGGAAACATTGCAGGAACATAGAGCAGAAGACAAGCCATCATATTCAGTGTGAAAATTCTAAGTTATAACTATAGAGTGCTGTAACTCATAGCTACCAATGAGTCAGTAAGATCATTGAAAAATAGATTTCTTGATGCGGGTTACTCCTTTGTGCTACTTACTTCATTGAAATAGCAATAAGGTGGTACTATATTTTCGTAGAATATGGTTTTAAAATATACATATTTTAATTATGATTTGGAGCTATGTAGGATTTGATTTTGGGCTATATATGATTGTTCATTTATTTCAGGGCTAGTGAAAATCAATGGCATGTGACTTTTTGTGGCATAAAATAGTTGTTACTTAAAGTGGCACTAACCTCAGGAGTTAAATCTTAAAAATGCATTCAAGAACCTTAACTATTACCAATACGGTATCTTATTTTTGTATCGCTCAGCTGTAGATCCTCAAATCATCTCTAAATTCATGCGGACACTGTCCTTCCTTCTGAAGGGTAGCTACCTTTGTTCCCCATGGTCCCTGTGTTTGTTGTAATGTAGCCACCACTCCAAGCTCACTCCTGTGATGGACTACAATCTCATGTTTAGTAGACTATACCTTCAGTACAAATTAGCTATCACAGGTGTGAGCTTGGAACGGTGACTACTTTACAACACACTCATGGACCATGGGGAACAAAAGTAGCCACTCTCCAGAAGGAAGGACAGGGTCCGCATGAATTCAGAGATGATTTGAGGATCTAGAGCCAAGTGATACACAAATAAGATACCGTATTGTTAATAGTTAAGGTACTTGAATTCATTTTTAAATTGTAACTCCTGAGTTTAGGATCACATTAATATTTTTACTATTCAATGGATTGTATCCCATGTATAAGTAGGCTCTTTGTATTTCTGTGTTTATCACATCCTGCATTTGTGCATTTTATATCAGCTTTCTGTATGATCCAGATGGGGTTAAAATGGACAAGGCCTAATGGTGATCTAATCTTCCTCTGTATGAGTTGTGGCTTATGTTCAGTCAGTTAATTGATACGGAGACATTACTTGTGTAAGTATTTTGTCTCTTCTGGTGTGCTAGGCTCATCTGATTGTAGCCACATGCTTTTACTAGATCCTTGTAGACAGTGCTGAATATGCCATTTTCGTACTATACTTAAATTAATAAACTGGATTGTGTTGGGAACTCAGCTCTGACAGCAAACATGTAGTACCAACGCAATGCATCATTCAAATATGATGATTTAGGATTCGTCTGCATTGGCTGCTCTGTAGGTGCAGTTATTTTTACATATATCTGAAAGCAGATCATTTGGGCAGTTTTTTTATATACCTGGGTAGGTGTGGTATCCTTGGCAGCCAATACCATTTCTAAAGTGCATTGTTAGAATGCAACTAACTGGTTGCTAGCAGCAACACAAACACACACAAAAAACACTTTTCTTTCCTTTAGGTTTTTATATAAAAGAGAAAGTAACCAATAAACCCTATAATAAATTATCATAGGAGTGTAATTTTCTCGGTACATGGATATTTGTACATTACTGTGTTTACTACTATTATGGCCTCTTTTACTGGAGAAACCCCCTAGGGGTATGGACACTACCACTTTCAGAGAACAGACCATGACCTCAGTATCGGTCTCACTTCCCCCTTGGTACTGCAATGCCAGACTACATTTCACTTTTCATGTTCATAGCAGTATGCCTACAATTCACTGAATTGCTGTATGAAAGATGACCAGCGTCTAATATGTTTTCTTTTTGTCTTCTATAGCACTGAACACTACAAACACACATTGGATCATTTCATATTAAGTCTGTCAAAAACCTATTTGCTATTCTTCTTAATGGAATGAACAGTTTTGGGAGGTTACTTAAGTTCAGAATTGGGAGAGGAGCTTAGAATATCTAAAATAGAAGAGTAATTCTTGCCAACAAATTAGAGCAGTCATGTACCCAGCGTAGAAGTCATGCACCCGATACACCTTTGTCGTTATAGCAAACAACACTATCTGCTCTGTTTTTTGTAGAAAATGATATCACTGTCTCTAAGATGGATATTTAGGGCTAAAATTTGCTGTTAATATTGGAATGTAAGAAAGTAATCTAGCACGAAAACATTACAGCAGATGTAGTAAATACGTGAATGAGCATCCTGGTTGAAAGGAGGGATACGTGAATGAGCATCCTGGTAGAAATGAGGGATACATGAATGAGCATCCTGGTAGAAATGAGGGATTCATGAATGAGAATCCTGGTAGAGATGAGGGATACATGAATGAGCATCCTGGTAGAGATGAGGGATACATGAATGAACATTCTGGTAGAAATGAGGGAAACGTGAATGTGCGTCCTGGTAGAGATGAGGGATATGTGAATGTACATCCTGCTAGAGATGAGGGATACATGAATGAGCGTCCTGGTAGAGATGAGGGATACATGAATGAGCATCCTGGTAGAGATGAGGGATACATGAATGAACATTCTGGTAGAGATGAGGGAAACGTGAATGTGCGCCCTGGTGGAGATGAGGGATATGTGAATGTACATCCTGCTAGAGATGAGGGATACATGAATGAGCGTCCTGGTAGAGATGAGGGATACATGAATGAGCGTCCTGGTAGAGATGAGGGATACATGAATGAGCGTTACATGAATGAGCGTCCTGGTAGAGATGAGGGATACATGAGTGAGCGTCCTGGTAGAGATGAGGGATACATGAATGAGCGTCCTGGTAGAGATGAGGGATACATGAGTGAGAGTCCTGGTAGAGAAAAGGGAACTGATGGGTTTTAGTGGGATCGGGATCATTCCTGAATAGTAGAGGTCTGTGAAAATCAACTGATTCACAGGCCAATCAAACATTTTTTTTGTATAGGTTTTTTAAAAATGTTTGCAACCTCCCTCTGAAAATTAAATTCTGGCAAGCCTCCTGACTATTTTGATGCCAAAACATTTGTCCTTCAACACAGGGCAATTGCTTAAAGGAGAAGTATTTGGAGAGTTAAATTAGTAATTAGTACCGTAATTAGTAAATGTATTCCTTTGACCCAAAAGAGAAGAAAGGCAAAAAAAAGGTTTGGTTTTACTCTTCTTCTAAATCGGGGCAGCCATTCTCTTCCAGAGCATGAGTGTCCAGGTGAACGTGCAGGATTTGCAGGTTTATGTGCAACTTGCTTTCCCCTGCCCTGAAATAAAAAGGCCTGTTTGGAGCCCTTGTCTGCTCACCATGAATGCTAATAAACATCTCACTGAAGCAGGGGTAGTCATGCACATGCCACTGCTGGGAACAGGCATGTTGCACTGACTGTTTCTAAATCCTGCATCTTCTTCTGGCCAACGTAGGTGCGGGAGAGACTAGTATTCACATGTCCTAGACTGCTGTTTTGGGGGCCATTTTAAGGTCCAGATCCTTGAATTCGACATTCAATACATACAAGCAGATATGCACATCATGCCTTGTGGATTGCATTGGTGTCTCAATGAGGGTCAAATTTTTCAACAAAATGTATTTAAAAAAAAAAAATTTTTTGTAACAATGCGAGCAGGATTGGTAGAGTGAATCAGGCAAAAAGCCAACAGAGAATGTTTTTTTTCAACATCCTGGTTTCTTGCATTTAGAGGAAATCTAAAGTACTGAAAAAAATGAAAGATAGAGCTGTGTTTATCTGTGCAATCACCCTGGTGATCAGTCTTCCTTTTTTGTTCCACTCTATATAAATGGGTTAAGGTTTATTGATACTAAACAGAAGTCATTAGTTGTAGCAGAGAGAATATCTGTGATGAGGGTGGTAGCTGGTTTGGGATGCATTGCCAAGAAATGTTTTCAGAAAGTAACTTGACCTTCTGTTTTGTGTGTTAGTGAGTGCATTCCAGGGAATGAGATTCAGCTGTTTGTGGGGACTGAACCAAAGCACAAAATGAATGAGGTAAGTTTTTTCTTTTTTTTCTTCCTTTTCCCACTTTTATAACTTTGCCTTCAAATGTCTGCCCACCCAAAGCAGATATCTCATTTTTTTTTGTAGCTGTTGTGTGTTTATAGACTTAGTTCACCTTTCATACCATGTTATACTCATATTTAGGGTGTAATCTGGAACACCGTGCCACTCCGCAGAGCCTCACCCTCAAAGCACGACACCCCCCCCTTACCTGAATTGTGGGGTGCTTGTATTTCTCAATGAAGCATGTGTGCAGTGATGTCATGACACTTGTAATACATTGATATCTTCCTCCAACCTCATAACCGAAGGTCTGTATTAATGTACGGACCTGGGCCTGGAGGAACAGTCTGCAGAAGCCTGTGTATTGCATCTGTGATCCACTAATTGCTGTTGCAATGCTTTCCAGGCTCTAATGCAAAAAAAAAAAGATAAAATGCACATGTTTTCTTTTTGCATAATGGATGCATCTATTATTTTATTGCAAAATGTTGGATATGCCTTGAAGAGACCCAGAAACATCTTCCGGTCATTGTTCCCAGATCTTCCGGTTATTGTTCCTTGGGGTCTCAGTCCTCCTGCTGAATTATTTAATAGGTAATGTTTAGTGGGTATACCCACCGACAATGGCCTGGTTGGTCAGTAGACCTAAGGACTCAAAGGTCTTGCAACACAAGGGAAATCTGTGATTTAACTTGCTAGCATAAAAAAAATATAAAAAAAATATCAGTTTTGGGTGAGCTGATGCTAAGTGTGCATGTATTTGATCTTATTATGTTTCATCTAAAGCTTTTCTAAAAATATAGCTGCATCTTTTTTCCCCATTTGTAGCAAATATGCTTCCATCTGTCATACGTTAAAGAGCTGCATCAGAAAGAAATGTTTCCACACACTGAAAACGCTAGATCTGAGCAAGATACCATTATGATGCAATTCTCTTTACACCAAACAGTTTGGTATTCGCATTACCAGAAAACCACAATATTACTGTTTTTTAACCATTGTATTTTTGATCAATTCAATCTATAAATCACTCACACACAGAGTTTCAGCAGATGTTCTAAACCCCTGTAGGAAATGCTGCTGATGAAATGCTAATAGGGGTAACTTGAGATCAGTTTTCTTAGACTCCCATAATCTGTTTTCCACTCTATACAGGAATGGTTTCCCCAGGGGATTAATATGTATCCCCAACATTGGCTCATTGTTACATCAAGTTGGGCATAGTATGCAGAGCACTTCAGTTCCAGACATGGAGGAATTCTACATTTACACCATTCATAATTACTTCTCTCTCCCCCTGTCTTATCTGGCTGTCATTTGAACAATTACATATGTAATCATCTGTATTAGAAAATCGAGTCGAAGCCGGTTTCCTCCTTAATGCAAGTGGGTTACATTTAGAATGGATAGTCTGAGAAGAACCACTGTTAGTTTACTGATGTACACCTCCCTCAAGTAGGATTTTTGGTGTCCTAGCATTCCTAAGCAGACTTTCATTAAAAACCAATTTGACCAGAAAAGATCATCACCTCTGAAATGTGTATGTTCTAATGGTTACATTGCCCATGAACTTTTATGCCTGCATTTTCTCTGCACTGAAAGTGGAGAACTATAGGAAGCCAATTATAATTTTCAAAAGGCAGGTATCATAGCTGATCACATGTACAGGGCTATGAAATTGCAGATCTTCAGCTGTAAAGCATAAGAGGGTTTAGTTCTGCTTTAAAGAAGAACTTTCGGGTAAAGAAAACAAACTTTGCAGTGGGTCTAACCTCAGACTGTAAGGGTTAAATGCTCGTGTTCGTCTAGGGTGTAAAATAACATAGATTTACTCACTCGAGCCTTAGTCCTGCCAGGCTTCTAGACAGGCCCCTACAGCATCTCTCCTCCTCCACTCTGGCATTGGAATGTCTCCTGGTGTCCTTACTTCTAATACACTGTGTTTGGGCATGATGACTCATGGGTCCTTAGACTGTCTGAGCGAAGGGGGAGGTAGGCTGCGGGGTCCGGTCCACCAGCCAGGAGGGATCGAGGTTCAGGTGAGTATATCTTTGTTATTTTAGACCCCAGACAAAAACAAGCACTTAACCTTTGTAAAGGGCTATTGAAAGGATTATGTTTTCTTCTGCCCAGAGTTTTTCTTTAAAGCAAGAGTGTCGTAAGACAAAAAAAATGCCCACAGTTAGTCCTGTTATGTATTACCGTTTTATTTTCCCTCCTGTAGTTCCTGCACAACATATTCAATTAGGAGAGGTAGCACCGGAAGCCATTTTTTGCTTTACTACAGGGGAGAGTTCAGGGTTGACCTCATCAGTTTGTTGGTGCTCATTCACTATCCAATCACAGGCTTGGGAGGCCTTGGACCAATCACAGGCTTGGGAGGCCTTGGACCAAGCTGTATTGCTATACCTGCAGGTTCATACTCTGGCAGTACTACCTAGGTTAGAAAACTGGCTGTCTGAGTTAGAAAACGGGTTGAAGAAAGTTACACTTAGTTGACAGGTAAGACAGTTTACACTTGCATATTCCAGCTGTGAATTTGCTTTCACTCCCTTTTAGGTACCCACAGACATTAGGAAATGTTTACCTGATCCAGACATTTATGTTTGTATGTCTGTAGGTTTTGCACAACACCCATTTGCAGGAGTGGAAAGTTCAAGATAGCTTTTCCAGGCCGACTGCTTTTGTATTTCTTATTATAGGCCGGTGCAGTAGGTGTCAACAAAGCGCTACAACTCCCCTCTCCATATTATAGGCCAGTGCAGTTGCTGTCACCTCTTTGTGTTTTTGTAGGCACCTTTTAGTGTCTTCATAAACTACATGCCACAGCAGGTATCTATTATCTGTGGGTATGTTTACTAGAACTTTTTATCCCACATAAATTTCCCATGGTGGCCAGAAAGTGAAAAGTAAGCGATAGGTGCATGAGCTTGTGTTTTTACTTGGAACAAAAATCCACAGATTAAATAAAAACTTGCAAACCTTTACAGAAAACTCTTGTGTCTTATTTATGTGGTATGATCCAATATTGTCACTACATTTATTAAGTGCTAATTAACTCATTTGATGTTAGCTGCAGCAATGGCAAATGGGTGTAAATGATAGGGGAATTTTGCCTTGCCAGAAGCTCTACGATGTTAAGCCCACAGCAATGCACTTTTAATGGACTGTTGCCTGCAAAGGAAAATGATGTATTGTTTGATTTTAGTTGCTCAGAATATTTCAGCTCACATCGGTGTCCTATTTTTCACCATTTAAGAAATAAATATATGTAATTTATCAATTAAGTTACCATTTATTATTTTACGACACATATAGAAATAAATTACATTCAGGGAATACTTTCTTAGCATTACCCTTCATGTATCTGTAATTCATTTTAGGGATTTTGATGGGCTATATTTTTCCCCCGCCGAAATGAGGTTCATCGCTGCAATAGATTTCAGCTTTTAGTGTGTTTGCCTTTTGAATTGTGCTCTTGACTGTGAAAAGCCACAGTATCAGTGATTATTTATGACCTGCATAAGGTGTCCAGATGTACAAGATGCACAGAGTAATGTGTTCCTTGATGAAACGTGATCATTACATTGCATTTGGAAGCTATAAAACTCTGACCATTGTCTATAATCTGTCAGTGATCTCCTTTCAGTAGTGTGTGCATGTGTTCCTATGATATTCTAAATCACAATGCAAAAGCGAGTTTGCTGCAAATCAATTTAATAAACCAGACAGATTTGTTATTGTAGTAAAAAGGGTAATGGATGAAAACATAACACTATGATTCTTGTTTTTATATCATTGGAACGTTTGATTCCTGTAGACTTTAACATGCTTGTTTCTTGTGTATTTATATTGTAGGCAATAAGATGCACACTGGTCAACTGCATCTGTCTGAATTTTAAACCTGCGAAAATAAACCCTCGTCACTGTGAGCAGTGCAGGCACGGATGGGTGGCACATGGTAATTATTGTGTAACTAAACACTGTTCTCTGTCCAGATGTCCACATTCCTGTTGATTCCATAGTTCTCCAACTTGTTTTGTTTTCTTGTGATCTAGCATTAAGTAAGCTACGGATCCCGCACTTTTACCCCTCCAGCCAAGTTGAGATTGTTCAGTCCAGCGTGGTCTTCGATATTAGCAGCCTTATGCTTTACGGCACTCAAGCCGTCCCTGTTCGCTTGAAAATTCTGCTTGATCGACTTTTCAGCGTCCTGAAGCAAGAAGAGGTCCTGCAGATCCTTCATTCACTTGACTGGACACTTCAGGACTATATCCGGGGTTATGTTCTTCAGGTACAATTATAGTGCTCCCATTATTTCCATACATAAGAGTAGTAATGCTGTACAAATCGTAGTACCTTAAAGCAATAAACTAGGTATAATAAAAATTAGCTCCAGGTAAAAAAACACATTCACTGGGTCCCCCTTCCCTACTTTAACAGCTAACTGCTCATTTTGCTTGAGGGATTATAATTAAGGTGAAATACCTTTTTTTTATTCCTTGTTCCTGCGGGCTTCCTTCTCTTTGTGCCACTTGCCACCTGGTTGCAGCTCTTCAACGTCATCCCGTGCAATGCGGGACCAGCAGTCCTGCATTGTACAGGAGGACATTGAGGGCCCATTCATATTCCAGAGTGTCAGACAGCACAGGAGAGCGCTGGCTACTGAACATCACCTTATCCATCATCTCCCTAAGCAAACCAAGCAGTTAACCCGTGCAAAGCGGAGAGGAACCTACTGCAAGGGTAATTTTTTTTTTTTTTCTTTCATCCGCTTTAATTGTATTTGGATTAGTTGACGTATAGTTTGTTGTTCATATTGTACATTACTGCACTTTGCACTTGGCATTGCCTTACTGGATAAGCTCCAATAGAACTACATTGATTATTCTTCTCACCATGGCTTTTTTCCATAAGAATATATTACTGCTAATGGCTATATGTACTGCATTTGTGGCAAATGTTCACAATGTTACATATTTATTCATACTACATATTGTGAATGAAAGGTAAATAATTTATTTTTAAATATAACAAAGTATGCACTGGTGACTTGAAGGAAATGCCCGCTCTGTAATAGCTGCAGTCAGATAGGTCTTTTTAGCAGCAACAAGAGTCTTATGGATGAGATGGAAGTGCATGTGTTGCTGATTACAGTTGCTATTCTTGTTACTGGGGCAGTGCATTTCTTCCTGCCTTCTCTAAATCATCTCCATTGCTGTTGTTGTGTTATTATAAAATGAACTTTGGTGGCTCAAGAAAGAAAATGTTTAGTTCCTGTAGAATGATGTTCGAGAAGCATTCACTTGCTGCTTTGCATGCCTTTCTGTTTTTCCCTTCTCTGTGCCTTCCCTTTACCACAGCGTATAAAATAAAATTTCTGTCTCCACTTTCTGAGTGCACTTGGAGATGTACACTTCATTGTCCATCTCCTTGCCTGTCCCATGAGTCAGATTTTGTCTTACCATAGTGTCAACGCCCTGTGGAAAAGGTCTGTAAAAAAATAGTTTTATTTAGTATTATTAAATCCTATTTTGTTGGCTGCCATGATGATTCATAGATCCCCAAGTTTATCCTCCTTTTTTTCTATTACTGGTTTGCCTGGCTAACCCAAGGTTGGTAGTCCTCCAAGACTGGAAGACCTTGATGCTTCAAAGTGGCGCTAACAACAAAAAAGGAGAACAATAATAATGAATTATTAGCCTCTATGTCTGTCCCTCAAAAAGTTTTCTATCTTGATCCTATTTAAATTATTTACTGATTATGGCATTGCTGCTCTATGGATCCTGGCATGCTGATAGGCTGTTTAAAAACTTTTTATCCTTCAAATTTGGACTTTTGTCCAGTCCAAGGCTGCTAGCCCACTGCTGCATTCCTTCTGGAACTCCAGGCAAAATTTTTATTAACCCTTGCAGTGGGGCACACTGCCAAGGGTTTACTGCTCATTTTGGTCTAGTGAGGGAAATAACAAAGTTATACTTACCTGATCCTGAGTCGGCCGGCTGTGGCAGGGGCCTTAGACAGCTGCAGTGGAAGGGGAGCAAGGCTAGAAGAACCAGTCTAATAGCATGCCAGCTCAGAGTATTGGATGAGTATACCTTTATTTTCCTGCCTATACCAAATCGGGCAGTTAACTCTTGCAGTGTGGGGGTAGCCCCAATGCAAGGGTTAATAAATTTGTAACTTTAATAAAACAAAAACTTAATTTTCCAAGCACAAATTTTTTTTCTCCTGGCTGCCTCTGTCTGGGACAACAGTAGAAGTCCTCCAAGGTGGGAATTTCATAATCTTTTGCAGTAATGTTGCCACACCCTATAAAGCAATATTTATTTTTTTAGGAAAAGAAATCATCTTTCTCATCAATCTTATAATGGGTGTTGGTTCTTCAACGCTGCATTTACATGATGCTTTACAGTGTAGAGATTCTGACCTTTAACCCAAAAAGATTGTTAGCTTTTATTTCTTGCTTCAAAGTTTTGTTGATGCTAATGAATTACCACCATTTATCCCAGTGTTCTTATCAAAACACACTTTGTACTATAATATTTTCATCTAAAAAATCTTTCTAGATCTTGTTTGTTTAAAGAGATGGGTGCATTTTTTTTTGCTTATCCACACACACACAACACATTGTAAACTTATAAATGTCCATATTGAGGCTAGGTTCACACCTGCACTACACTGCACGACAGCCGGGACGCGCGATCGTGTGCTAGTGCACAGAGCAATTGCTGCGTGGCCCCATTGATTTCAATGGTGTGAAATCCACGTGGCAATCGCTAACACACGACGTGCTGCTTTTTTAGGGGAACAGCGCGTTCCGACAGGGGTGCCATTAGAAAATAATGGCACCCACAGCGTGATCAGGTCACACCATGGCGACTCCCAACCACGTGGCAATCGTGCACAAAACCGCGCGGATTTTCAGGAGTCGCCTAGGTGTGAACCTAGCCTGAAAGCTAAGTAGATTGGGGGGCATTTATTCTAGTGGTTAATCTTGGCCAGTGTCTTGAGTGTTAGCCACATACAAGGTACTTACTACTGGTTTATCGTCTAACCAGAACAGTGCACCAAAGAGGCATACAAATGAGAAAAGAATACAATTTAGATTTATTTTTTTATCTACTCTAAATATAGTGCAATTCATCTTTGTAATTGGCAAGAACACAACAGAATAGAGTTAAACTATGCTAATTAGGCAACTTGCAAGAGGCTTATACTTCCTGCTGCTTGCTACAATTATGTTTTTATGCAAAGCTCCATTATGGTCTTATATCATGACATAGATCAATATTTAATGATCTGGATAATCTTGTGTTTTAGTGTTGGGATTAAAAATATGGAATCAATTATCTCCAAACCTCTACAGTATGAAAAAAATATGATGATACATTCTTCATCAACCTGGAAAGTCTTTCATGGACTGTGAAAAATCTCAGTAGGCTATCAAATACATGTCCTGTGATAAAATATTTATTGTAGTTATTGGGAAAAGTTAGACAAGGCCAGAGTTTGATATAACTCCAACACTCAAGTGTAATTACAGCTGTGCTTTGTGGACGCTGGCTATAGATCAATACGCCTTCATTTATTCTCTGATCTTTAGATGCCTGGAAGATTATTAGACTTGCAATGTGGGAAAAAAGGCACTCTCCTTAAATGAGCAGCTCATCTTAAACATGAATTGCAGGGCTTTTTCTCCCTACATTAACTGATCAATTTAAAATTACATATCAAACACTTACCTGTAACTTTCCTCTTATTACTAGAAAGCAATGTGTATATTTGTTTTGAATAACAAAAAAAGATTAAATCCGGGCTAAACAAACATAATCTTACTGTAAGGTAGCATGTGCATCCTTACTTAAAACTAGAGCTGCAGCTAACGATTATTTTCAAAATCGATTAGTTAGCCGATTATTAAGTTCGATTAATCGGTTAATATTGATGTCCCCTGTGTATTTACCCCAGATTTTTTTTTTGCAGTAATCCAGCATGAAACAACTCCTGCACTTTGCTTCTGTGCAGGAGTTTCCTATAATAAAAACCAGTCACTTCTGCTCTCTCTCATGGAGCAGGATGACTAGTCTTTTATCCACCACTCTGTATTTCTCTACTGGAAGTCATAGTGGGTGGAGCTACTGGGTCCCTCCTACATCTCTGCTGTCTGCACAGGCTGTGAACAGACCAATGATGATGTCACCACTACTTTTAATGCTTGGGTTTGAAAAATACATTGAGGGGGACTTATCAAAACTGGAGCAGACGCCCAGGGCAAACAATCAGTTTTTCTCTTCAGTTTGTTCAGTTAAGATTTGAAAATGAAAGAGAGAAGCTAATTGGTTGCCATGCACAGCTGCTCCAGATTTTGTCTTCTCCAGTTTTGATAAATTCCCCTCATTATGTGCAAGTGGATTTATATTATTTGTGGCTGTTTAGGAATATATTTGAATTTTAGTTCTTTAGTTGAGGTTTTTTGTGCCTGGAGTTCAGTTTTAACAGGTGTGTTCACTCAAAACTATATTTCAACAAAGGTTTTGGCTAGACTATAGTGACCCAAAACTGCAATATGGGCAGGGCCACACACCCCAAGCAAACAGACTTTGGGAAATAAAATAGTTGTTCCTGTTAGGGAAAACAATAGCGATCATTCTGGAAGTATCAGCCAGAAATTGCATGTCCTCTCTCCATAGGAAAAACACTTCTACTGAAAACAAACATTTTTTTACTGATGTATAGCCATATAATTGTAGTGTTGTGCATAATAGCTCTATTATATTCACAGAGATATGCCACAACTCCAGATCCACAATTCCATCACCTGACCAGTAAGGAAAGGTTGCAAAATCAGTTCCCCAGTTATTTCAACATTAGTAAAATTTAGACTGCCATTAGAAGTCCACTGGGTTGCTGAAGAGACCAGGGGGTCCCCTTTACACAATAGCGCACTAGTTGAAAACGATATGATAGGTGAGAAAAGGATACAATTAAGATAAGATGTAGCGAGCATTCAGATTGCACATAAGAGGGGCAAACCGGAATGGAAAATTGGCAGAACAATCAGTCAGGCAATCTTAATTATGGGTTTTTTATTTAGCAGAGAAAATATATACGTATAGTAAGGAGAATATATACTCTAGCTAGTGCTTATCAGTGCAGTCACATTATCCTCTTCCTCAGGGCTGATTTATAGGACCAGTGGCGTTGGCCCCAAACGTACAATGCAGAAAAAACCCCATTTAAATAATGTATCTAGGTATATTTGTGCAGACTAGCTGGAAAGTGAGCCCAATGGACCATGTGTATTGTAAGGGTTCAGCCAACAAATTTAGATGATTAGAAATGTCTGTATAGCTGTAAATGATTCCGCTGCCTTTTTTCCCATCAATATTTGCCTCTTTCTACATCTTTTTCAGTTTTATAAACTCTGTTGTGGATTCTTCAAGACTGATAGTACACCAATAGGTGTGATTATTGTTAAAGTGTGTAAATCTGTGAGGTAAAACAAAATAATGAAAGTAGAATTTTTTCCCCCTAAAATCCTTATGGAAAGAAGTCCGTTAACCAACATAAAATATAAGCCTCAATAGAAAAATATTGGACTATAATTTTCCTGATTTTAGTTTCTGTACAAATTTGCTAACCTTCCAAAAATGACTTAAAGTATATGCTGAAGAGCATAGAAAACATTAGCATGGTTTTCAATTAATACAATGTTATTATAATTTATAATGCATATCTAGCATTACATGGATTGGTTGACATTTACCGTGTTTTCATTATAACTGGTAAATATGGACGTTAATTGCCCTAAACTTTGGCATATTTGTGACTAAGATCCTTTTTTTCATTATTTTGTTGTAGGATGCCTCTGGAAAAGTCTTGGATCACTGGAGCATAATGACAGTCGAAGAAGAATTGGCCACATTACAGCAGTTCCTTCGCTTTGGGGAAACCAAGTCCATTGTAGAACTTATGGCAATCCACGAAAAAGAAGGCTACACAGTGCTTATACCACCTACCAGAACAAATTCTGACATCAGGTCATTTATTGAGAACAGCAACCCCAGAAGCAGTCCTATTGTGCCTCCTGTGTTGGAGAAAATGTCTCCTTCCTCCATACATCCCTTTGAGAACATGATCAATAATATGGCTTTCACACTGCCATTTCAGTTCTTTAGCCCTCTGCCTCCACCACTCATTGGCTCGCCACCCGAGCGGTCGCTAACTGAAAGAAGTCAAGACAGGGGAAATGAGGGCAAACAAGATGCCCATATATCATTCTCTGAAAGTAGCTACTTGGCTTCCAGTTCTGCATCATTTCATTTAGAGAATGAGTCAGACATAAGTGCTCATGATGTTATGACCAAAGCTGAAGATGATAGCCCGTTGAGTGATTCTAGCTCACACAACACAGTGTCAAACTATGATATGGGATCAGTTTCCCCTGAAGGTAAACTGCATCCTGGTGACCGAAATGGCTCCATACCCAGAAAGGGACGGGTCTTCTGCACCGCTTGTGAAAAGACTTTTTATGACAAAGGAACATTAAAGATTCATTATAATGCTGTCCATCTGAAGATAAAGCACAGATGTACAATTGAGGGATGCAACATGGTTTTCAGCTCCCTGCGAAGCAGGAATCGTCACAGTTCTAACCCCAACCCACGACTTCATATGCCAATGAATAGGAACAATCGTGACAAGGATTTGAGAAATGGAATAATTATCTCTGTATCTGAGGACTACAAAAGGGCGGGACTTAAATCTCCTTCTTTGGATAACAGGCCTAATAACTATGGTAGTCCTGGCTCTGAATCAAAAGTTCCTTCGGGTCTACCTAATGTTGGACAGTCATGTGTTCTTATCCCTAACTTAAAAACTGTTCAACCTGTTCTGCCTTTTTACCGAAGTCCAGTTACCCCAGCTGAGATAGCAAACACACCTGGCATACTTCCTTCTTTTCCAGTCATCTCTTCACCTGTCAGTGAAAAACTGGCATCTCCTGACTTACCATTAGATACAGCTCCAAAAAAGAAATCTCGAAAATCTAGTATGCCAATCAAAATATACAAGGAAACTCTGGCTACACCAACCGAAAGCACAGAAAATGTTAGCTCTGAAGAGGAGACTTTATCACATAACGATGATGAGCAGTTGTTGGATATCTGTGATAACAATATCGAGGGCTCAGCAGAGAATCCAGGTGGACTAGAGAGGGATCATGTACACTCTTCAGTTTCGTTCCAACAACAGAACGGAGGGGAGCAAAATTCTCACTCTGTTATGGATAAAAGTTATGACAATATGTCTTCTGACTCTGAAAATGAATTTCATCCCTTCAAACATGAGCCGGTACTGAAAGTGGATTCCAGTGAAAATAAATATGAACATTCAAACCACTTTAATGTTGTCAAGCAGCTGGCTGACCCCTCCCTGTATAATAAAGAACAGCCAAAACACGCAGATTCTGAGGACGGTATTGAATTTCGACCTTACCCTTTGAGCGGAGGCATTTTTGGTGCTATGTCTAACAAGGGCTCAGGCTTTGGTGACTCTGCAGCCCCAGAAAGAGGAGAAATGCACTTGGAAACTCCTAAGGATGAAAACCGCTTTCACTGCGAGATTTGCAAAAAAGCATTCAAAAACCCGTACAGTGTTAAGATGCATTACAAAAATGTGCACCCCAAAGAAATGCATTTGTGTACAATTGATGGTTGCAATGCTGCTTTCCCATCTCGAAGGAGCAGGGACAGGTAAAGTCACATAAACAAATATATAACATTTTCTTCTAACAATATGTCTCTCATACACGGTAGGTCTCTCAAACACAAGCAGCGGTTCTCCAGCAGTCTGACACCCCTTTGAGCACTGCTTTAATCAATATGACTCTCACTCCCTAAGCAGAGCACTGTTTAGTTGGACATGTCAGAGAGCTGGGCTGCTGCATGGTGTGAGGGCAGCTGTTCGGTTCAACACTCCTAGGTGCTTCCAACATACAGTTTTTTAACCCTTGCGGCAAGAAAAATAAGTAGGCATATTTATTCCTGTGTATGCAGCCTGGTTATCAATTGGTGTGTATTTATTAAAATGTTCAATCCCAAATTAGGTCCAAAACAAATAAAATAAAAATGTTGAAAGTGACCCTAACACAGTGGGGTCAAAAGTACACTAAGGGCAGCTTCCAATACAAGATGCTTTATTACTTATTTTTCTGGCAGCCTTTGTGTTAAAACTTGACTGTGTTGCTGATCTTCGGGCACAGCAAATATTAGACTGGGTGTGGGCACTACCTGCCAGCTCATGTCACTAGAGGACCCACAAGCCAGCAGGAGAAACCACAGCGTATGACAAGAAAACCTGGAGGTAAAGGAACTAATTCAAAGGCACAAACTGTCCTATGATCCAAATGATTCTGATGCACCTAAAATGTTGGATACCAGCAGCAGTTGGGGATCAGCAACAAGGTCGAATTTTACTACAACACACAGCTGCATTAGGGTGTCATTCAGAATGAATAGCACCACATTGCACCAACGTGCATTGTCCCGTGTTTGAGTAATGTGCTACTGTGAATGGGCCCTGCCTGATTCTCAGGCCTGGAACAATCAAGTACAGAACAGGTGCCCCTACACAGATTACTAACAGAGTAATAATCTGTGTAAAGTTAGTAGTAACTTTTTAAATTTAGGGGCTGATTTATTAAAGCTAAACAAAAATAGCACCAAAGTAGAATTGTTGCCATAAGAACCAAGTCAGCTTCAATTTATGGAAAATTGGATTTGAAAATGTCTTAATTTATCACTGTAGGCTACACCTTTTTTCCCCATTTTCAGTAAGTTTGCATTACAGTGTCAATAAGTGCGAGAATGCTTCAGCTTTTCTTTCTTGTTTGCATCTATGTGGATTTAGTGGGATTTACCAAGCAGGTTACCTACATAATAAAGTGTATATCCAGTGCTAGACAACTGAAACTTAAAGCAACTCTGTCTGTTTTCTCCTTGTGGTAAAGTGACTGCTGATCCAGACAGAAGTACACGTTTTCAGATTCTTTTTAGGGTATCTTTCCCAATACAGGCTTTTTAAACAGTGGTGTCCGATACGATCACACAAAACAAATACACCACTCGCATCCACCTCCACAGTCCAAGAATCTCATCTGCTTGTCGGGTGCCGGCTCCAAGGGCGTGCCAGCCTGACAGGCACTAAATCCAGGTGTAGAAAAGAGGAGCCACACTCCAGAAATAAATCTTCCCTACGCTGTTTAATCCATGAGCATAAATAAGGTGTACATTGGCACACAATTTTACTCACGCGTTTCACCATTATGGAACATAATAGTGGAACGCGTGAGAGTGTAAAGTTGTGTGGCAGTTTACAGCTCATGAATGCTCATGGATTAAACAGTGTACAGAATATTTATTTCTGGAGTGTGGCTCCCTTTTTGTTTACTCTTGGATTTAGTGGTGTCCAATAGCTATGCTTTAGGGACATCGGCTGCTCACACTGGGCTCCCTCTTTGACAGCTTCCTGTCCTGTATCTCAGAGTGAAGCCTGAAGGGTACCATGAAAACAGAGATGCATAAAATAGACAGATGTTCTGAACCAATGGGTGAGGGGCAATAAAATAAATAAATTAATCCCACTTTTCTGCCTCTTTACTCGTAATACGGTATCATACAAGTGTATAACTACAGTGAATTTGCTGACCACAAAATACAGTACTATAGAACAGGTATTGATACAGCTATTAATAAAAAAAAAACATCTCAAGAATAGGGTCACAACAGCTCATTTTAACATCTCATATTTTTCTTTTTAAAGAAAGATATCGTTTCTTAGCATAAGATAATGGGGGATACTTTTAGTCAAATACCTGGGGGGATATATGCTGGAAAAACATATAATTGTAAAAGTACATATTTTAATGCATAATTGCATCCATCTTAATATTTAACAAGGTAAATATTTTTTAAAACAAAATTATTTTAAGTAATGCACAAAAATTGCTTTGTTTTTATATGTTAGAATTAAATTCTAACAAAATATTGTGTACTGCATGCATACTATAGTAGATGTGGATATATATAGGAAGCTGAATTTACTGTACGTGCAATCTTGATCTTTAATGTGATGGGCAGACTTTTTGGCCAAAAGCTTGACTTTTATAGGAGAGACTTGGATATAACTTGCCACTTATATCCCTAGATGTACTGACCAGTTTGACAAGTGGCCTGAAATGCCCTCTGATATGCGAGTAAAGACACAGGACAGCAGTGACTGACTCAAAATCCAATTGACAGTCTCCTATATGTAGATGAAAGGGTACAAATTGTATGGCACTGCCTGATGATGATGGATGGGAGCGTTTAGGCAGCCATTCAAAGTTCAGACATGTTTCGGTGGAACAGCTGAAACTAGAGAAATAATTGAAGCCTTAGAAAAGTAAGTCTCATACTTCAGGTTAGAGACAGCTAAGGCAAACTCAAATGAAATGGTGGCCTGAATTGAGAGAAATAAATCTTCAAGGGCCACATTGTATCTACTCACACCTACTGAATTCCAGAAAAATATTAAAGCTTCTCAGTAGTCAAGAATATAGTGATAAAGTAAGGAAGTGTAGCTTTTATCAGTTGGAAAACTTGTATTATTATTTATGAATGGTATTTATATAGCGCCGACAAGTTATGCAGAGCTCTACATAGTTGCACATTGACATCAGTCCTTGCGCTCAAGAAGCTTACAATCTAAGCTCCCTATCCTACATGCACACAGGGCCAATTTAGACAGGAGCCAATTAACCTACCAGCATGTCTTTGGAGTGTGGGAGGAAACCAGAGTACCCAGAGGAAACCCGCGCAAGCACAGGGAGAACATGCACATTCCTTGCAGATAGGATTTGGAACTCTCAGTGATGTAAGGCAGAAGTGCTAACCACTATGCCACTGTGCAGCCCAAATATTTAAGCTAACTCCTTTCCTGAGAGAAGCATGGAGGCTGCCATTTCATTCTGCAAAGACTAGTTTTCTGGCTGTAATGCTGATTTTCTAGCTTTAATATTTTGAGTGAATAAATGCAACATAAATGTAAATACGAAATTCAGACTTTACCTTCTTTCCTCATCTGCATACTTGTTAGTGATCAGTGACTTGGAGTGTATAGAAGCCAGCGGCTGAGCATAACAGCCTGGCAATTAGCAGTTTAAAAAGGAGGTTAGCAATGACTGCCCCTATATTTCTCTAATGAAACGGTTGCTTTAAACAAGGTGAGGGCTTCAAAGAAGAAGTGAGAAGGCTACATGTGATCCCCGAATGCCATTTTGGCCAGGCTTGAATTAAAGCCAACAATCATATATTATGATAGATACATTCAAACACCATTATAACCAGGGCCGGATTTACTCTTTCTGCTGCCCCAAGGCCAGGTTCCTCTATCTGCCAACCCCCTCCCCCCTCCCCCCATAGAAAATGGCAGACCTGCAGGCTGCATATAAGTGATCTCGGCGACATCGCCAAGATTACTTGCACAAAGCACGCGGCGGCTTCCCTGCTCTACATTTAGCTCTGCTTGCCCAAAGCAGGGCTAAATGTAGAAAACAACTGCCCACCCGGCGCCGGAACTGCATGTCCCGGGCATCGGGAGATAAGAAGTCCACACCCCTGCTGCCCCTCTACTTCCTGCTGCCTTGAGGCTGGGTCTTTGTTGGCCTTGTGGGAAATCCGGCCCGGATTATAACTGCAGAAAAACTAGGAAGAGTTTTTGAATGGAGTAGCGGATATGCATCTATGTCTCTCTGCTGTACTTGCTATATGTAATCCTTTTCCGGCATTCAATTTTTTCCTCTTTTTTTTTACATATACTGACAATAACCATCTTGGATAATTCTATATGCAATAAATACAGTATATGCCATATATATATATATATTTCATCTAGGGGGAAATGTAATTGCAGGTAGACTATAATCAGAATGGTTGCTGATTTATTTTTTATTGCCAAGTCTGTCAGTCTCCGCACCCAGATAGGCATATCCTCATCTACTGACAGCAGTGATTTGGATTGTGTTATACTTCTAAAAAACAGACATGGGAGAGAGGGGAGCAAAGAATATCTGGTTCCTATACATGTACAAAATCATCAATCCAACCACCTGGTAATGGATAAGGACTGTGTTCAATACCCATTATATAATAATGAATGTGCTTAAATTAACAGACTCTGGTACCTTTTTGGTTTGCTCACGTGTACTTTTTTTTCACAGGCACAGTTCTAATCTGAACCTTCATCATAAACTACTGACCAAAGATGCCCTAGAAATGCAAAACAACCCTTACAATATTCCTTATCTTGTCAAAGAGATGTCAAAAGACCGTTTCCAGGACTTGCCATTAAAGAACCCTGGACAGACATCTGTGATATTTAAAGGAATGAACCGCACAGGGAGTCTGGTTTACCCCTTGAACAAGATGAGAGATTCTTGTTTGGACAGCTTTGCTGCTGATTCTATCACTGACAACGTTGTGTTGGACTTGAGCACCACTTCGAGCATCAAGTCAGCCAGCAGTTCCCACTCTTCCTGGGATTCGGATGGTGGTAGTGAAGAAGGTAACCTACCAGTGGACGATAGTGATGAAAGCTGTCAAGGCCTGAGCTTCATACCACAGGATGAGATTTATTACAATTGGAATTTGGTTGCTAGAGCTCAGCAGAGTTTCTCAAACATCCCCTCTGGTATGCCAATAACCTGTCAAATCTGTCAAAAAACATATAGTAACAAAGGGACATTCAGGGCCCATTACAAAACTGTCCACCTTCGGCAGCTCCATAAATGTAAAGTGGCAGGCTGCAACATAATGTTCTCATCTGTGCGTAGCCGGAATAGACATAGCCAAAATCTGAACCTCCACAGAAGCTTATCAGAGCCACTGAATCCTGTTTAGGTGGAAAATATTTAACCATCTTCTATTATACTGAATTCATATAATGGTTTCCCATAAAAGTGGCCATATTTCAGTTACTGGGTCCTTTTAAAGATAACCTGTCATAAAACTGGTCAGTGGCATACCTAACGTAGTTGACACCCTGGGGCATATTATTTTTTGCTTTAGCACTCTTACTCCCGCACTCCTTTTACATGTCAAAATCATTTCCATATTAATGTTATTTCCATATTAATTATGAAATTAAATGAATACCAGTAGTGGGCACAAAAAGATGGTGAAAGTGAAGATTTTCTTTATCTGACGGTTTTAGATATATTTATGTTGGTAAAAAGAAAATAACATTGTGTGCCATGCTAACGTGGGAAATGCATGCTAAATATAATAAGATTCAAGGGTTTAATAGTTGTTCACAAAGACACAGAGCCAATACAGGAGGACATTAGCTGCATGCTTTGGTAGTTACAGACCTGCAGGGGACTAAATTATAGTATTAAGATCTGCTAAACAAGGGTGACCTCATAATACAAAAAAATGGTTATCCTGACAACACATTGTATTATTTTATTTAATACACAGGCCATGATCCGTTAACTGTTACAATATACAAGCGACACATGGGCAATATTTACAATACATGGGCAGAAGACACCCAATTATGAGTGTGCAGGCAACAAATGTACAAATATGACAATATGTGGGCAACAAATGGGCAAGGAACAGTAGAGCGCTTGGATGGTAGGCTCAAGGGTCAAAAGTCATGCTGTTCATATAGCTTTAGCTATCCATAGCTCTGGGTCTATTGATCATTTTATGTGCCAGTTTCAAAGAAGGAAATCAGCCATTTTTACATCAATTTGCATTGCTGTGACAGTTGTGAACATGAGAAGATTAGGGACTTTTAATACTTAGTTTTTCCAGACTTTTACAGTTTTATATTTGTGTCTTGTTGGTCTACAAACCTTCTTATGATTAGTATGTGTGACAAAAAAAACAGCTCCAATATACTGCTTATTTTTTTCAAAATAAGAAGCATTTTATAGGCCAAATGGGTTTAACTGCAACAACCAAAATATTACTTCCTTTTAATTCCAAGTTCTACAATGACATAAATTCAATGCAGCACAATAATATAAAAGTAGCAGGACCATTTGGAGAGTAAACACAAGTAGAATGCAATAATACAAAACTTAGAACAGAACAGTTTCATTCTAGAAATCTCATTTGATGGAAGTATTTAATGTTTCATTTAATAAGTTAATTGTGACACGGACCCGGTGTCCAGGGTAGATTGCATGCTTGTGCATTAGTTATGAAAATGGCTTATCCTGTGGTATGAATACGTTTGTTTTGAGTAACCAGAGGGGCATATTTATGGAAACTGGAGTAAAGATGAGTTGTTACCCAGAGCAGGAGTGGCAACCCCTGTAATCCTTTCCTGCAGTTTTCATAATCCCAGGTGTATGACCTGACATATATCAATTTTAGAAACGCAAAATCTGGACCAAATCACTCACTGCTCTTTTGCATGCACTTTTTTTTTTTTTTTTTTAGGAAAAAGCATGATCTTGCAAGAACGAAACAATGATGCATTTCAAAGTAGAGGATGTGCAAACAGCTCCTTTTACTGAAACACAAAACACACCACTACTGCTACAATGCCAGCTGCCAAAAAATCATTTTTTTGTAGAAAATAACTTGTGTAAGTAGTAGTCACAGAGTTCTCTCCAATGTACAGTTTTGATACAATGCCACTGAAGCATCATCACTGTAAGCTGTTTTTGTCATGATATATGCTATGCACTTGTTATAGGCATTTTTGTATTAAAATGCTTTGTTCACTTTTGTTTTAAATTGTATGTCCTTGTTTCTTTATATTGTAGCTTTTTCTTTGTTTACATCAGAAAAGGCGTTTTTTTTTTCCAAAGCATGAAAATCTCACCAAACCCTAATAGATTGAATTTGTCGTGCTATGTAGCAGTGTGGCACAGTTTTGTTTGATGTTTAACTTATTGGTAATGAGCCCAGTTGGTGTGCAAGTTCTTGCTATGTAGTAGTGAGTGGGAATCCTTATACAGATGGTATATGAACCACTGAAGAAAGTCTACCAGATAGTCACCATTTCAAATACTTGGCTAAGCATCCAGTAAATGGTTCCTTCATGGTGTCTTAGAATATAGTATTTTCTGTTCTAGGTCAATATTACTGAACCCCAGAACTTTTCTTCAAAGGGGAGGAGCACTCAAAACTTTATTTCTTTTCATGAGCATCATTGGGTTTAGTCACTTGCAGCATGAATCAATAGTTTAAACTGAGCTCAGGAGATTTATATTTTATGAATCATTAGCTAATATCATTACAGGCATGCATTCTAAATGTATTTGTATCTGACAGCCCGGGATCAATTATACCCATCTGCATATGGATTCTAGTGACCTCAGCCTACCATAAAAAAATGATCCTGGAGGCCCTCTTCAGGGCAGAGGAAAGAGTTTTCTCTTCTCCCATCTTGGTAATTTTCCCTTCTTTTCTTCATTTCTCCCCTTACTTTCTACCACCCTTTTCTACTTCTCTCCCTGTCCTTTCCCCCTCTATTTCTTCTTCTCCATCTGTCCTTTCCCCCTCCATTTCTTCTCTTTGTCCCTTTTCCCTCCTTCTTTTCTCTCCCAGTCCCTTTAACCTCCATGTTCTTCTCTCCTTGTCCTTTCTTATTCTCTCCCTGTCCTTTCTCCCTCCTTTTTTTTCTTCTCTCCCTCTCCTTTCTCTTTACTTTTCATCTCTCCCTGTCCTTTCTCCCAGGATGTTGAAGGGGGGATAGTATTAATTGTCACTGGATGACCCAACCTGCCAGAGTGTCTTTAACTTTGGGTAGGCAAATACTTTGTTATGAACTAGAATCGCAAATTTCTGGATGCTTAGGTCATACCTACATTTCTTGAAGTATCTTCTACTTAGCCACAAATTATTAAGCTACCCATATAAGTTTAGATTTTTCTTGTTCATCCTGAGAAGATCACTTGATTATCCCACCCACACAGAACAGAGTGAATGGAGAAATCTGTTCTACTGGCTGTTGTATTTAGACAGCAGACACCTGCAGTTGTCTGAACACACAAACAGTGACTGCATCTGACTGAATGCAGTCACTGTTCAGCTGAGAATTTTCTACTCAGCCAAGTAGATTTTTTTCAGTTGCATTTTGTCGAGCCATGTGGTGCCAACATGGCTATCCACAATTTGAATTTAGGCCAATTCACCAGGAAATGTGAGCTGTGTATGGCTAGGAATAGATGAGTTGGGGATTGCTTTTTGTTTCACTTGTCACTTTCTTGGTGCAATTTATTTTAAAGTGTACAGGAATTAGAAAATTAACAAACCCAAAGAAAAATTTGTTATTGAGTTGTCAGGATACCTACATGTGTATGTGACAGTGCAGTCATACTGAATTTCATTTGTTACTTTGTATCCATTACTCCAACACATCATCAACACCTATGGATGTATTTCTGGTGTGGACTGTGATCTTGACTGCATGAATATGTAAGGAACATGCTGCCCCCATTTAATACTAATTACACATGGTCGTAGTTGTGGACATAATGCAGTCACCACGCAGAGGACAGTGAGGGCTGGTACATACATGTGTTGGTTTCCTTTGAATATGAATAATAATTAAAAACAAGCTCCATCAAACCTGGTGTCAGCTATAGGTGGGATGCACCCAACATCTTCTGGAGACTCCAGTGGTGATGACCTTCTGTAGTGGACCTTGTCTCTCACATATGACAGACTCTGTGATCATTTCAAAGAAATCACTATTGCATCTAGATTTCCACATTACTTTTGCTTCTAATTCATTTCAGAGAGTCTTTAGGAGATCAGGACACCAGCTGCACATACCGGAGTATATATCTCACCACTGGAGCCCCCAAGAAAGATTAGAATACAGCATGTGATTCAACATGCGATCGAGCAAACAAAACGTAAATATCAGCTCTAGGTGGAGTTAGCCTTTAAAAATGTAAAAGACAATCACATTGTTTGTGTTTTTGATTAATGTGGAGGCAATTTTTGTTGCAGAAAACGTTATTTTGGGTTTAAAGAGAACTTTTTTTTTTTTTTGTAAGTGGTCCAGCTGTGTTCACAATACTTCTAAAACTAGTTTTTGTGTCTTACAAAATCTATTGTAAGTTGATATTTAAAATCTGAACTGTCTCCACAATAGATCCAATACGTTTGTATACTCTATGTATATTTCTTTTGTATTAATAAACACTGTTTACGTTACTTTGATAAACTCTATTTATTTTGTAATCACATACAATAAAAGATTCCTTTGTGGCTCTGACAGATGAGTGTTTTATAAATTGAGGAGCTTCTATGCAGTATAGCGTGTGTGTGTGTGTGTGTGTTTTAAAATTTTTAATGACATATTTTTATTTCGGAACAGAGCTGAGACATGCTGTGTTTTTGAAGGTGCTGTACACCACAGCCCAGCAGCACTTACATAGGCTCTTTTTTCTTTGATCATATTTTACTGCCTGTCATATCTACAACTCACAAGAAAACTATTTTCACGGTGAGGCTTTTGGAGCTGTCACTGGTGAAGAAAACACTGTTTTTATCTTTTTTTTTTTTGTGTCTGGCAAAGCAAACTAACACAACAGTATGAACTCACCCAAACTTTGGGGCCCATTTTCATTTGTGCAGTTTTTTAACATACGTTGGGGGGAATGTATCAAAACTGGAGCAGACCTATTATCCAATGGAAGGCTCTGGTCTGTTTGCTTAGCTAAATCCAGTGGTGACTTTTTTCAGACAGGCAGTGTGCATATTGTTACTGCACTGTAGCATTGCCTTCTATACAACACTGTGGGTGTACAATTGTAGGAGCAATATATTTTATTAGCAAAGTACTTTTTACTTGGGGAAAAAAAGACCATGGCAGCCTCTTGACTGAGCAATGCACAGTAGTGCCTTATATGTAGTATTTAACCTTGCCTCTGTCAGTCTTTTATTTCTGTTCCATAGTTAAAGTGTAACTATAAAAATAGCACATAGTATATGTGGCAGTCTGTCACTATCATTAAGAACATGTGTCTAAATGCTTTTGTTCTCATCACAATGGCTTCTTTCCCCATACAAATCTATAGAAATCCAATAGCAGCTTGAAGTAGATCAAATATATGTCTGAAGGAGGTCAATTGCAGGTCAAATGCATCTGTCAATGAAATTATCTCAGAAGGGTCACCAACTGGAAAGCTGCTTATGCCCGCTAACACAAGTGCAAAACCCCTCGACACCGGCCCTAACCCAGCATTTTCTGTTTTTTGTAAGTCTACCCTGTAACATAGTTTTATCACTTTGCTAATCCTGTAGATCTGTTATGTTCCTAATTCCAGTAACAGGGTGACAATGTTGTTGGTTCTACAGATGAAATTGTACAGCAGCATTGTCACCCAGTCGGACAGAGTAGTCTTAGATGGTTGTGTAGTTTAAACTTTAAAGATTTAAATCCAGTCAGCCATAGCATTTCAGTAGTTTGTTTCCCAAGGGATGAATGGTCATTTAGTCTAGGGAAGGTTTAACACTTTCAATTATACAAAAACTCCCAGTTGCGTTTGTTTACCAATCTCACTTCCACGTGTGTGGTATCCCAAACAGTCTTCAGGTACGCACGTGTGCAAAAACGAGGATTGCACCACATATATTCGGTATTGCCACACACTCTGAAGTGAGTGTAGTAATTCTGGGGCCATCATTCATGGTTAGTTCTAAATTGGTGAACTTTAAAGGCTATGAGCAATTTTGGGTACCATATTTTTTCATTGTTTCACAAGCACACACAATTATGAGGACTGTTTGATATCTGTTTACTCAACACAACCTCATTTTATATTTTACCACACAATTGGGTGTTACATTGTGTTTATGTCCACTGTAAATAATTTCACGGTAAAGTGTGTGAACATGGCCACCCTACACTGATCACTCCTGAGATTGACTACGTAGGTGTTGACGCATTCAGTGCTGGCAAAGCAAAACGCCTACTTATAAAAGCTCCATCCACACAGCACTGCCCTTGGCATTCAGCCTGAGCAAAACAAAACAGGATGCATGTGCAGTAGAAGTTGCAGACGTGAGGTCACGTCTGTGTGAGCATGTGATTGCAATATACATGCAGTACTTGACCAATGACAAAGTAAGAGGAGTAGGAACCTGTCTGGAGGGCACATGTAGACAAGTTTTATATCACAAAAAAATGGTAAGTGTAATTTATTGACACAATTTAATAAGTGGTGCTGTATTACTGTAGGCTGGAAGCAGACTTTTTATAAATCAGGAGTTTAATGACACTTTTTAACTCCTTAGCATTGCAGATTCTGCAGACAGGTGCAGTTATCCTGGTAACTGTGGAGACACACAGAAGTGGGAGCAAATGATCAGCCAACCAAGGAAGGGGAGAACTTTTCTTAATGCTTTACAACAAACCATTGCCAGCTGTGACAAAGTTTAAACTTGATTCTGGGATAAGCAAATATTCTTTAAATACAAGAGCCATGTGCATTCTTACTTGAATCTTAGGGTGCTTTGTGTATTTCTTCCAGATCTGTGCAGTAATCCATAATGAAACTGTCTCTGTGCAGGAGCTTCCTGTAATAAAGACCAGTCACTGCTGCTCTTTCTTCTTGTGCAGGGTGACTGGTCTTGTCCCCGCCCCTCCTGTAGTTTTCTGCAGGCAGCCTGTAGTGGGTGGAGTCTGCTGGGCACCTCCCACAGCTGAACCCATTATTGGGCAAAATACTAGTAGGATATGATTGTATGAGAAATAGAAACTAAGACCACTCAGATATAAGTAATGAGACTATTTCTGCTTTATTGAAAGGGA